AAAGTCAATGGGGAAACCATCAAATGATTCAACCAGGTTACTAAGTTTTGAATTGCAGTGATTCACTTAACAACTATGGTAAGAAATGTTGTAAAATGGAGCAAAATTCACTTAACAAATGTCTCAATAACATAAATTTGGGGCTTAATTGTAGTTGTAAGTCAAGATTTCATACCTACTGTATGGCAGTGTAGTTGCAAATAGCCATTCTGGACTACCATTTTAAGATATAGTTCTGACCAAAAAAAGAAGCCTTCTATGTCTCTTTACATATCCTTGGCAAAAGGCAGATTTTGTTTTTTATCTACTTTCAAATACATTATTTTTGAAGACATTGTAGGCTTTTTTATATCTATCCAAGATGCAAGCCAGCAGTGGGATGAGTTTATGACTCCCACCTTCCAATATCCTGTGGGAATGGGCATTTGGAACCACAGGAAGACTACAGACTGACTGATAATGAACTATTTTCTACATGATTTCATTTACCTTTTATTCTTTGATTCAAGGGATTCAATGGACAGCTCACTATATGATAGCCAAACTAAATAACTTCCCTCAAAGTTAAAATAAAGTTATTGTTGAGGAGGACAAGAACATGATTTTGAAAGTCTTTGATATTGCATGATGGACAGACTTGAGCACTACAGGCAATATACATGGATGGGTTCCTTTCTAGAAAACCTTTAGCCTCTTAAATTATATGTTAAATCTTGTTTGATCCACCTTCCTTTTGGCTTGCTTTAATATTCTGTACTTGGGTGGAGGCTTCATAAAGTTCCATTTAATGAGGGAAGTTATCCTTGTGACCAAAATTAATCTGAGATGTTAGTGCATGTATTTTTATTGCCTCTTCTATGAGAATGTACTGTACATGCTGGTAAAGGTATACCACTTCCAAATAGATATCAAGTCTTTGGTGAAGGAGAAGAGGTTTATTTCCTTCTTGCCAACTGGAATCTGCTATTAGAAACAGAGTTGTCAAGTTATTATTGGCAGTTATGAACCTAACAAGGCTTCTTAGTCTTAGTCCTTTAATTCTTTTACCTTAATTTTATTTTTCTTCTTGTTTTTCTTTGTTTCATTTTATTCTCTTTTTTTCTTACACATAATTTTAATTGGCAATTATAAATAGTGGAATTGTTGCTCATTTGAGCCTGCTTCCATGGGTTATTTTAGCGTTATATCTATTTTGTGGTCATTTACTGCAAATAGATAAAACAGCTAAATTAGTTGCAAAGTTTCTTTTAAAAAAAAAACAGTGAAACAGTGACATATTCATAAATATTGTCTAAAAATAACCACTTTATTAGCAAAGGAAGATACAGTATAAATATATAAATTAATAATAAAAAACCTTTGATCTATATTCATTTTCCTGTGCTGTCAAGTGTCATAATGAAAGTCTAAATCCTAGTGACAGTTTTCTATCTTGATAAACCACTATCCAGCTCACAACAGTAATCAATGTGTTGAAAATGGCTGAAGTTAATGATGCAGAAAATAGCAGCAAAACAGGTTTTCTTTCGACTTATCACTAAACTAATACAATGATCATATATGCATGAGATGACCAAGCTGTCACTGAATTCCTATACTTTGCATTTCACTAAGGGCATCATCTGACTAATTAAGAGTTTCTTTATTGACTTTATGGTGAAATGATACAGTCACTAAGGAGGTGTACAAAGAAAGTTACTTTTCCATATGTCATGTTTCTGACAGTCATGGTCATGCAGAATTTAAACCAAGAATAAAAAATAGTAAGGAAATAAAATATTAAAGAGCACTTAAGAGGTCAAATTGTACAGGTAGTCCTTGACTTACAAGTGCAATTTAGCCCCAAATTTCTGTTAAGTGACACAGTTGTTAAGTGAATTTTGCTCCATTTTACAACCTTTCTTACAGTTGTTAAGTGAATCTAACTTCTCCATTTCTTGTCAAAAGGTCGCAAAAGGTAGTCACATGACCCCAGAACATTCCAATTGTCATAAATATGAATCAGTTATCCAAATTTTGATCATGTGACCATGGGAATGCTGCTGCATTGTAAGCGTGGAAAATGGTTCTAAGCAGGGGTGGGATTCAATTTTTTTAACAACTGGTTCCGTGGGTGTGGCTTAGTTGGTGGACATGGCTTGGTGGAAATGTGAGTGGCTGGTTGTGGCCAACTCAACATCAGTCACATCGAGGCATGCATCTCCTCTCCTGGCCTCTTGTGACCATGGGGATGCTGCAACAGTCATAAGTGTGAAAAATGGTTATAAGTCACTTTTTTCAGTGCCATTGTAACTTTGAATGGTCACTCCACACAAGAAAAGCAAAGGAAGGGAAAAAAACTCCCGAGAAGTTCCTGGAAGTCTAATCCTGCCAAGGATGTAATAAGGATTAACGGAGAGGAAGTTTCTGTAAGCAACACCAGAATGTTTCCTTCCTGCCTTCCTTGCAGGATTAGGCCAGTAATTTCTTCTAACAATCGGTTCTCCAAACTGCTTAGAATGTTAACAACCGGTTCTAGCAAATAGGTTAGAACCTGTAGAATCCCACCCCTAGTTCTAAGTTTGCTTTTTTCAGTACCATTGTAATACCTAAATTTCTCATAAAACAAACTCAATTGGTTTTTAAATTTAAATTTGTAAAATGACTCAGAGTTATCAACTGTGCTTTTCAGGCTAAAGAACAAGGAGTTCCCATGGAGACTTAACTATTCCTTTCCAGAATGAAGGATTCTTTGGGAGTAAACCTCAGTATTGAACTCCAAATACTATTGTCTGCCTGCATCCCTCGGCTTTATTTTGTTTTATGACATATCAAATCAATACATTCCACATTTATACCAAAACAAAGCTCAGAAATGCACATTGCTTGAACAGCTACAGACTCCCGGAAGTTCTAGTTATTGAAAGAGTTTGATCTGAATGGAGAGGTCACATCAAGAGCATGCTAAAGAGAGAACATGAGGAATGCAAATCTTGTTCACTGCAGTTTAGCACATCTTGTTTATGCTTTCTTAAAGTGGTGAACACCACGCTCGAGCTATTTGCTGGAATTAACCATGATCTAGGAGGCCATATGGATTTGCCAGATGGTCTGATGTAATTTAATGGCATTTATTTTAACTACGAAGTAAGTGATGAACATAATTAACATTCCTTTAGCTCCTTACTGGATGTCTTTTATTAGTTTCATTTTTCCCCCCAAATATTGAAAGGTAAGTGAATATCTTGTTACAGAAACGCAGATGCCTACTAATTACCTCAAAAGGTTGAATGCTCCTGAAGCAGAGATCCTCTGCTAGATTCTTATTTACCTGATGACCCCACTGTGAAGATTAATAAGCAAAGCACTAAATCATAATGAGTGGGTCAGATCTCAAATGTTTTTCAGGTTCTCTTAATTAGTATTAAAAGATACAGAATGTGCCCACAACGTTTCCAATATATCTGTCCTGCCTTGCCATAAATAAGGTATCTTGCACCATATGTGCCGCCCGCTTTATTCCAAGCTATCGTACATCAAATGGTTGAAATCAAACAATCAGATTTTGATAAGAAAAAAGCCCCACAAAGGAATAACTCTCATTATTTGAATAGTTTACCTGTTTTATCTTCTGCCAATGATTGTTTAATGACTTTATTTCACAGGAAGCTATTTTGTGGTAACTATAACTTCAAAGAATGTTTATTTTTGGTGAATTTACCTGCTGCTAACGGTTAAAATCACATGATTAGAGCAAGAAAACAAAAAAAAATTACACAGCTTAATTATGCTACAATTCCTATTTTATATGTACAACGTAGAAAGTACTTCAAATTTCATTTGTGAGATGCAGAATTTATTTTGAACAGAGTTCAAATGTCTGCACTATAATATGAATTTCCAAAAAAGAGATATCCTAGTAATTTCAAGATATTAGGCATATTAAAAGATATGAAAACTTTCTAATAATCTCCAGAGTAAATCAAAGGACCCATCAGAATCCCAGTTTACTGTGTGAAGTGGAAATTATCAAAATGAATCCTCAAGATTTAATTTACACAGTCAATATAAACTATTAAATAAAATGGACATATTAGTTTAGCTGCAATGGGATTTCCACATTAGAGAATGGAAAACAATATTGGATACTGATCTCCTTCTACCTTAGTACAGCAGTTTTGGAGACCTTCCCAGGTAAAAATTAGTGGAAGGAAAGGCTGGTAAACAGATGGAATGCGAGATCTAATGACAGGCTGCCCTTCTCTTAGAGTTTTATCTCCTTCCTTGAAATAAAGATTCCAAGAACTCCTAAAGCTGCTTTGATATCCTGATATCCTATTCTAGCTCCATTTACACATTAAATTGTATGGTTTACTTTACTTGTTTGCATATTTCCATTCGTTAGTCCTTTTTTAATCCCTTTTGCCCAACAAAACCAATGATTTCAAATTTAGAAATCCACCAGAGTGGTGAACTTTCAAAACTCAAAACATTTTGTGATATTTTGATTCTTTCTAACAAATGTACTAAATGGATTAAATTTGGATTTTCACATTTCTTTTCCCAGATGGATCTAGGTATGTTTTTCTTCCTTTTCTCCCTCAAATAAATTATTGGTGGGGTTGAAAGAGTAGGAAAAGGCACCAGCTATTCTCCCAAACAGTACAATTTATTAAACTATAATAAATAGAGGTTATTTCTGGTTAAGTGGATATAGGATTACAGTCTAAAAGCAAGGTATTTTTCTTTTTTCAAGTTGAAGACAACATCGAGCCTTTCAGTGGTATAATAGAAACCATACTTCCCAAAGCAAGTGAGACAAATGCACATAATTTATATTTCAATCATATTTAAACTATGATTTGATGCTAAATTTTGCAACTATTTTTGATGTACACATCTAAAGCATTTGAATGATAGCGCCACAAAGCAGTGACTTTAGGTTGTGTGCCAGAAAATCTAATAAGAAAATTTTGTTTTGTTTTGACCCCATATCAGACAAAAAAGAAGTTTTCTGGTACCTCCTGCATACATAACAGCCAACATGATTGATGATATCCATGCTATCTCACTATATGATGTGCCAAAGATCTCTTGTATCTCTTTGAAGAACACTGTGATGGCTTTAGGGAATGAATAGGAAAATCCAATGGAGATGAAAGCTCCAAAGACCACGATCCAACCCCATCCTCCATCAGGGGGAGCATACTGTGGTGCTGTTGTTGAAGGTGGCATTTCTTTTTTTCTTGTAACTATGCTGTAGGGAGAAATAAAATAGACATTGTGTTTTAAATAGCTGTCTTCCTTTATAGCACACAGTCACTGGAAATTAAATATATTACTAATTTCAAAAAGCTGTTATTTCCCACTGACAACACATTGCCCTCACTGTATGATTTAAGTACAACTATTTGCTTATAATAGTCAAGCCTTCAAGACTAGAAGTAGATGAATCTTGGCAACTGCTAAAATCCTTGTTAAGTAGGATGTGACTTTTGCAAGTCATTGATCCACAACACCAAAATATTATTTAGCAATTGATCACAGGTGATAAAGGGATCCTTTTATTCTGCTAATACCAATCTGCCTCAATTATTTCTGGCAAAGTAAGATTGGCTTATTCAATAGGAGTTTCTAGATATAAGGAGTTTATGATATAAGTAGACAATATAGTCTACCATGTCAGCCATATTTTTATGATTCATTTTAAAAATACCTTTATTTCAAAGATAATGATCAAGCACAGCTCAAATGCTATTGCATTAAGAGACTATGCAATATCAACTAATATGAATTTTCAAGTGTACTTGTTGAGTCATTAATAAACTTCTATGCTATTGCATTATTGTGCAATCCAGGTAAGTATTTCAATATATTAAATAAAAAATAACAATGCCATAAAGAGTCATGGAAAGCCTGGTTTTATATATCACACTTTGGGGCTGTGCAATGCTTTCTATTTGAAATAAGTGATAAGTGATGCACATGGACATATACTTTGCATCTGTCAGAAAGCTTCAAGGCAGATCTAGAGAGCCATGTTTGGAATGCCAACTGTTGCAGTTTGCAACCATAACCAATGGCTTACAAACTGAGCATAATGGCAAGTTTAACAAAGGAAGGAAGGCGAAACAAACCATAGCTTATTTTGCTATGTTGTGAACCAAGTTGCTAAATTCTTATGAATTTACATGTTGCTTTCATAATGTAACAAATCTCTTGGGAAAAATCAATACACACAGATTTTCTACTCAGGCAAGTGTTCATAACCTTTTTTTAAATTCCCCATGACCTGTAGAAGCATGTTACCTCCTAATTATTTAAAATAAGAAAGTAATTTACAACATAGTTAAATCTGAAGATTCTTGTCTCCACTGTTCTGTTTTTCCATATCGGTAATATGCAAGTTACTTGATAAATATTAATATGTGATTTTAGTACAAGGTATCATTTAGACTAGATGATAATATCACAAAAATATTTGCTGGTTTCTATGAATAACATATGCACAAAATATTTAAATTTTTGTCATGAAATGCACTTTTTTCATAGCAATTGATTAAATCTTTTGATCAGTGGTACCCTGAACTCATTTGGCTTTTATTAATTAGTTCCACTATTTCAACTTACCTTGTGAATCTGTTAAAGCCATCAGCAGTCAAATAATGATAAACACTTTCAAAACTGGATATACATACTTTAATTTTGATACCAAATTCTCCATTTTGTATTTACGTATTACACATTATTGTTACTGATTTGGGATTTTCAGGGTTGACTACAAGGAGACAGGAATTAGGAATAATAGAAATAGTAGTTTCATAATTCCATTATATAAAATATACCTGCTGTTGATTCCAGGATTAAAGTGCAACAGTTGCTCAACTATTTCTTGACATACCACAAGTTTAGCAATTTTACTATAAGGGACATATTTGAAAAAAGAAAGGAAAACGGTGTATAAATGGAAAATAATAAATAAATATATTTATCTTCCCAATGAAATAAATAGGTATCTTCTTCTTTAGATAGGTACTCTAGTAGTGAAGAATTCTAATAGTACTGAATAGTGCAATATGGCCAGAAGTACTATTAATATTACCATGTACGGTATATTATAACAGCAGTCAATATCAAAACCTATTTTCCACAGCTATAAATATGTGGAATTGTTTTTATTGAATCATTGCCATTTATTTTAGGGTAAATTCTCACAGACAAGCTAAATTGTTATGGATAACAATTTAAGGGTTATGCATAAAGGGTAATTCACTTCCATGAAGATTCAAGAGAAATAGCCACTAAGCTACCTGGTAAATGTGCATTCTACACACTTTCAGGCAGGATAACTACACTGCTATCCTGAGGGCTAAATGGAGCTATCTCTCACACTGAAAACACAAAGTGGTTGGAGGAGACACAATTTGCTTAGTGGAGGTACATCTGCTACTTCTTTGTTCTAACAAAGCAAATCACCCAGCTTTTGTGGCACTGAAGCAATTTTGAATGTCTTTAAATATAGCAATCCACATAGCGCTTTTAAAAGCCTTTCTTCTCTCACCACCACAATGTAGAATGTGTCTGCTTGTGATGGCACTCTGCTTGTGAAATATCTACCCTGAAGATAGTTTCTGGTGCCTTGTGTGCTCTTTTTAGTACCGGGTATGAAGCATTTATATTCTAGGATCTTAAATTGTGAATTTTTTATTTGACTTTTAGATCCAGCACATTTGTTTTGCTTTACGCAGTTTTGCAACTGTTAGTGGGGGATGGGTAGGAAGGAGTTTTTTTCCTCCCACTTTCGTATTCTGTATATTAGCAAATAAATGAACTGTTATTATTAAAAAATTCCCTTTATGTCCAGATCCAGAAAAATGATTGCTAATAATTTCTAATTTATATACACAGGTGGCAGCATTTTATGATAGAAGTATTTTCTATATGATTGATGGATAATGATCAGGGACAATAAACATGAATCCATAGATCCAGGAATGTATGGCTAGTTAGGACACCAAAATCCAAAAAAGCACAAAGATACTTAAGTTCTCTTGATTTTCTGATTTTTTAAAAAATTTAATTAGATCAAAAACTGGTTTTCAATTTTTTTCCCAATTTGGCTTTCACTGACAGCTATTGTTTGTATCAGATAAAAGAATATCATGTGGGAAACTGACATTTGACTCCCCCCACCAAGACTACCAATGTGAGAATTAAAACTGTCAGGAGAATAACACTTGTGAATCAGTCCATTGGAGCATTCATACGAATCACCTTTTCTATTTTCATAATCCCCTGAAGGCTAATGGAAAATATTTTTTCTCCTGTTTCCATTGGTATGATTTCCATTTACTTTACTAAAACTGCAGAAGACGCCTTGCCTAAGTTCCCAGTAATATTGTAAATAATAATTTAAGAACAATTGCAAAATCATAAATGGACTATCATTGCATTATTTCATTTGAAACCCTCTGATTGAATAGAGCAGTATGTGCAAAATATTTTTATTAAAAAGAACAAAAATGTCACTTATGAACTGTTTGAAGGACAACAGAGAGAAATGGAAATTAATTTCATCCTGTTCCTTTTCCCAAACTGCAGCTACTGCTTGCAAAGATTGGAGGAAGTAATAAACACATTATGGCACATGCTGTTTTGAACAACTTTCAATATTTATATTAGATTCCGTACATGTATTGTCTTGTGTCTTTTTTATCGTGATTGAATACTATGAGCACCAGCTGGATCAGGGCAAATAAATGCAATTTGGATCCAGCTTGAAAATGCGCAAATATAACAAATGCAACAGGCCTGGGAGAAAAAGGCAGGTAGCAATGTGCACACATATTCTGCCTTTAAAAAGGGTGAACGTAGCAATAAAAAGGTCAGAGGAAAGGTCATGACAAATAATTCATCTTGATATAATGCACTGTAGATTTTAGTCAATCATAGTCAACCTGCATAGATTGCTCTTCTGCAAATGTTTCATTAATATTCTCTGCTTGCCAAATAACAAAATCAACCCTCAGTGCAATAAATAGCTTGTCAGGAGAAACTAAAAATGACTAACTCTCTGTCCCATTTTCTTTGGACTTATTAGTTCTGTTACGATAATTTCCCAGGTTAAATGTTCATGAGTGCCTTTAGATGTGAAAGTGAAACTTCTGGCAAACTTGTCATACATGCTGAACCAAGACTGCAAGCACCGGACTTTTTCCTTTCAGCCGATAAGAATGAACTTCTGAAAGTTAGGTACTTCAAAAGGAATTATTTATTGAAAGCAAGTAATCCAGGTACTAGTCAAAGCAGAATCTAAGGTGCTTCCAGGCATACAGTAATAGGTAAAGTGAGTTAGAACCCCTCCCCTTATTCTGGTGTGGATTTAGTCAAACAAAGAGACAACATGTTAATTTCCCCCCCTTTTCTGGGAACATATCTTAGAAAAGTTTCCCAGGAAGTTTTTTTCAGAACTGGATTTTTTTATGGCCCCTTCTCCTCTTGCTATCTCTCCAAGAGGTGACAGGTTTCCAGACATCTGGCTCCAGTCCCCCAGTTGTATATCATGTGCAAATTATACAGATTCAATACAAGACTTAAGATATTCAGGTTACATCAAAAAGGATTACTTGTACCAACTCCCCCCTTCTTCTTCCATTGAATATGGCAGATACATGGATCTGACAACTACCTTTCTGAACAAGCATTTGGACAGATAATGCACATTACACAATGTATATAAAATAAAATAAAGTGAACAAATAAAGCACTAGGGATCTAGAAATGTAATTATTAATTATTAGTTAAAGATATACTACAGGTAGTTCTTGACTTATAGCCATTATTACTCATTAAGATGTGGAGAAAATGTTTGGCCTGATATAAAGATGTAGTAGTTGTGACAGATAGAAAATAGATAGATAGATAGATAGATAG